TACAGTGTACACTGTTCTACACATTCGATTTTTCTTCTTTTGATGATATGCTGCATTCCTGCAGCAGAAGCGAATGCCAAAACAAGTTTTAATTAAGACATTTGCTGGGCCAGAGAGCCTCGACATATTAATTTTCAACTGCCGCAAACAAAACTGGCAAATGAAGACGGCTGGATGGACACACAGCAACAACAACAACAACAACAAACACAACAATGTGCAAAGTGTGTGTAAAATGTGGAAAACAAATTGAAAAACCAAATAAATGTCGCCGCAGACACTGACGAAAGGCAAAGTTCTTGAATATGACACGATATTTGAACTATGTAGAGCTAGGTTTTTGCTTAAAGAAGAAATTACCAGGCTGTCGTGCGGCTCACGCAAGCTAACCCATTTCCAGGTCCAGTTCTCAAAATGTTCGATCAAGGGAAGCTTCTGTAGATCGAGACCCCTTTCTCCCTATCACTCGCCTGAATGTGAAAAGTCCAATTATGCTTTAGCTAAGAAAAAAGAAACAGCACTTGCAGCATATTTTTGGGCTTAATGAAAAGCAGCGCCAGCAGAAATCAAATAGCCTACGGCAAGTCTCATAGCTGCCAGCTTTGTGTAGGCTCAGAGTTAACATGACTTGTTCAGCGAACTATGCTAACGTTAACATAATGTTAACATTATTTTACGATTATTTAACAATTATTTTAAGCTACTATTTTTTAATGCATTCATAAATCAGCTTTGGGTTTATTGAAGAGATTTGTGCATTGTTGATAATTAGAAATAAATCTGTCCAAACAATTTACCGAGATTTGGCGAAGATAAAGCCGTTCGGCTATCAGGCTCTGACGTTGAGAGATAAACGGCCCACATTGTATATCATATCAAATGATATGACTATATGTATGCACTGCGGCGATAAGAATGTCATCGTCACTTTTGCAGTCGCTCGCAAATTGTATGCCCAAAAAAACTGGCCGATTTGTTTGGCTCGATTACCGGTTTGCTGGTCCAACAAATATATACAACCCCTTCATGAGCGCCGCTCTGGGCCCAAAATGAGAGCGAGAGTGTGTCTAGACAAGTCAATGACTTGGCACATTTCGTTGTGGGCTGAAGACCACAGTTTTTACATCATTTTGCTACTCTCTTTTTTTTTATTATTTTGTATTTCCTTACCACATCGATACGTATCTGTGCTCATGCCGAAAGTCGCAAATTTGTGCTAATTGTTTGTGCGAATATGTTCCAAACAAGCTGCTTCATGTTAATTCTATTCAATCCCAGTATACACAGATATTTAGGAAGAGTCCAAGACTAGAATATGCATATATAAATATATATATATATATATATGCAGCTATTTAGACAGCTGTTTATCTCTTCGATTCTGGCAGCAATTTTGCATTTTTGGGCAACTCATTAAAAAAGTTGCAAGTAAGCAATAAACTAATTCCTTTATTGTCATTCTGATAATAGATTAAATGTTTTGTTTTTGAATTTTTTCTGTGAATGCCCTTTTAAAATACGTGTTTTAGATATTTAAATAGGGAACATGAATGAATAATATTGACATATCCAAAAGACAAGTTTTGTAGAAATTGTTTTATGGCTGGGTCTGTGCCTTACGCATCATTCAATATATAGCTAGAGTTAATGTTATATACTAGAATATTCTAATCGGGAGTGCTCGACCAGGGGATATCCAGGACCTTCTTCTACGAACAACAAATGCAGCCCATGCCAGGGGGACATCGGGAGGTAGCTATCAAATAAAGCATACCTAATCTGGGAATAACATTCTAGAAGCTACATGTCAAGTTTGGAATTTTAAAGATATTTTTGGGGCAAGTTATCGAAAGCATACTTACGCTGTGCGTGTACTAGGAGAAACTACGTTACGACGGACGGACAGACAGACGTGCAGACGGATAGACAAGCGGATAAGCCTAGATCAAGCCGTCTTTTAATGTTCATCAAGAATATATTGAAACTATGTACTTTATGGGAGATCGCAGATGCTTCCTTCTGCCTGTTACATACACTTGCCCTCAAGCATTATCGCCTATTCACCTATTTTCAATGGTCAATTTAAAGCACAAGACAACATATTCAAAGTTAGATTTATTTCGTTAGATATTTACTAGCGACTAGAAATTTATTAACACTTAAAGATAACCTTCACTTTCGCGCGTGAGGCGTGCAGAGATAAGCGTAAGACGAAAATATTTGCGCGTAAACAAAAACTGAAAGAAAGACACTTGAATGGAATTTCCCAAATGATTTTGGGCATTTTTCCTAGCATTTTTCCATGAGTAGCAGTGTGACCAAAGCGAGATAAAGCGACAGCCCAGCTGGATGTAAATTTAGTATGCTTGCTTGGCCTTCAGCCTGTTTCAGCGAGAGAACTGGTTGCGGTTCATGTTCCTTGAATAGTAGTTTCTGGTCAGGCTAAATGAATACGGGTAAGAGTGCCAGTTAACTGGTAGGGATTGCCCGACTTGGAGATACCTTGCGCCCGGCGTCGAGCTGGCATTGCAATGATTCTAGCTACCCTTTGGAAATAGAACAAAATTTAACACAATATTCACTTTAGCTTGAAAGTTGTTTGGTAAATGTGAATGCGTGTTTATGCCAAAGTAAAAGACTCTACCTTAACTTTATATCAATTTTACAGGGTATATTTGAAGGTATTGTGGAAATGTGGTTACTCTTGAAAGACCTTCACATATCAATCCCTTACAATAATCGAGTTATGCTTAAGAAACCTCTCATGAAATCTAATTTACGGAAATTATGAAAATGAGAGAGGGGGCATTGAAAAAGAGGCGTATGATAGACCAGAATATATATTTCGTTTCCTCAGCTTGAACGTATTTTGAGCTTGGGAGACAGACTAACTGGACTAGAACGATTCAGCTTAGATACCGAATGGGGTCGGTGAAACCTCCTTCCGCCTGTACACAAAACTAATATACCCCATTTTGGACATATTAAATAGGTTGAGGGTATACAAATACAAGAATTTTGTGCAGAGCTTTGAAGCCGAGAGCTGATGAAATGCTCTACATTTGATTGCAAAAGACTTGCTACAGTAGTCGCTCGCTAAATGGCACGCTACGATTTCAGGCTCTCATTTGCGCGCTTTTTAAATACTACAACTAAGTGTTTACATTTTGGCTTTAACTACATTCAATAAATTTAACTAGAAAATTGTTGTCTGTCAAAGGTTGCGCTGTGATTGGCATGAAATGGGTAAATTAAACCAAAATGCATTACAAATAGGCAACGAACATTCTGGGTATACCGAAGATTAAATGCCCTTGCAGAGATGACTATTATTAAAATTGCCACAATGATAAATATATATATAATTAGCGTATGGAATTATTTGACAGTATACAAATATTGTGGCTCAATTAAAGTTGTTTTTTTTTTAATTTAATTCGTAGATTTATCACGATCACGTTTTTTAGTTACTCACATTTTGTAAATCACACTTTAGTCGACAATTACAACAGACGTGGGCAAAGGCAACAACCATTTAAGATATCGAAACAAACAGAATTATGTATATGAAAAGTGAAGTTTATATATGACTGACAAAATATCACCATATATATATATATATATTTGAAGCTTTTCACAATAAGGTTTTTCTGTTGTTCAAAAATATGCATGCACTTATACTTTTCTTGATTAAATTTAATGTCTATTTGTTACAGTCAATATTAGTTAAAAACAATTACAAGGAATTTAGGCCCAACTATAATAAACATGCCAAGAATATAAAATATAAATATGACAGTCACATTTGCTGTTTAGGTTAACTCAACCTAAGTATATATAGAAGCTGTAGAGTAGAGAATTTTTTGTGAAGTTACAAATAGATATTTTATATATTATTATATAGTAATCAATGTTGCTTTGTGAGTCTAGAATTTGGGAAATATGTGAATTCAAAGCGCAAGCAATTCTTCTTTGCCTCAAAATGTTGCAGAGTTCATGAAATAGTTCAAGTACCCAATGTTAGGGCATCAGGCCAAAGAAACCCAACAACCAATATGAGCATAAAACAGATAAAAGAAAGCCCCGCACCCTTCTGTCGAGAAGGCGCGTGATGCTCAGAGCGAGCACAGACAGAGAGCGAAGGAGAGATAAAGTGAGACACAGCGGAAGATTTGCAAAAATGAGCAGCTGCTACACTGCAAAAAAAAAACGTAACAAAGGGTTTTCAAATGTTGGAATGAAATGTTTTAGTCATAGATGGAGAGATCTTCGCACCTATAAAGTAAACTATGTCTATTGTTGCTCTTTGTGATTTGTTTTATGCAAATTTATCTCTGAGCCTTAAGGCTATATTCAAGAAACTTGCCAAAGCTTCTTCCTTTCGTACATAGTTTATCGAGAGCTGAATCGGATCGTATCACTATATTCAAACAGCAGGAATGATCTCTCCACAATGCCACTGGGAAAAATTTCATTTTTTTTCAACCTGGCATTTTGTCTTGTTTTGACTACGAATTCTACTTCTTGCACTTGATATAAGTTCTGTTTTGTTTGTGAATATTTCTGAATTACGTACTCAACACACAAACAAAAGGGTATTAAATCGTCGACATGGTGAAAATTCGTGCTGTCTTGTTTATTTATATTATCAGTTTTACAAACAAAACGTAGCTGCACACTTTGATATAAATAATTGATTTATTATATTACGCCGAACGTATGCGGCAGACTTTTTGGCACAGTGCACGCTCCATAATTGAGAGAGAGAGTGCGTATGTTGCATGCTGTGTATAAATACGTGCGTCTAGCAGCCGACGCTTCAGTCAAGCAGTTGCAGGGCAGAGGAGATCAGCTCCAGATCGTCGCAAATACATATCGACAGAGAGGGGAAGGCCAAAAATAACGTCAATTCAAGCAGACAAAGCATAAGCGAGCCTCTATAGCTATAGATATATGTATATATGTATATACAAATATAGCTATATATTATATATTATATATATATCGAAAATTAAATTGTTGTGCGTGTCTTGTCATTGCTTTTGGTGACTTTTATTTTGTTGGTCTATTTAAGCGTAACGAAAGCATTTTTCATGTCTTGCCAAAAAAAAGTTGCCAGCGTTCAGCCCAATGTAGTAAAAATTTCCAACAATCGACCCGCGGCAATGTCAGCACTTTAACAAGAGCCAAAAAACAAAACAAAATAAAAAACAATTTAAAATAAAAATAAAGAAAAAAGATAAAGATAGCATAAAACATACAACTAAAGAGCTCGAGCAGACGGAGCAAAAAATTATTAATTTGTGATTATAAACAACGTGTGTTATATCGACTGGATGGGTAAAGTTATGATAGTTAATTCATTGCCGCCGCCCAAACGAAAGTGCCACGCCCACGCTCGCTGCAAGCAACAAACGAAAAAACAATTAAAACTTAAGAAAATCGAAATCTATTTTCTGCACAACAATCTGTGCAAGAGAAAAACTTTATCGCATTTTCAATTATTGACGCTAAACCTTAAATCGGAAAGTGAGTGAGAAAATTCAAGTGAACATTTGAACAAATCGAAACTAAACTAAGTAAAAGGAAAATCGATTGAACAAAATAAATATTTATACATACATATATAAGCTTTCACAGAGGTAAGTGGCAAAAAGTTAATTATGTGTTCATATAAATATTTATAGCATTTTTTTTTTATTTATTATTTATATTGTCTTTGGCAAAACGAACTTCGTGCTGAGCTACGATTAGCTTGTAAAGAATGGTTTTTTTCCTCTAATTAATATGCATATATGTAACATCCTGTCCAATACACAATCGAATTCTCTCAGCGGCATCTAATTATAATGAAGCCTAGCTCTTAAATGATCATCTTAATTACAAAAAAAAAAAAAAAAAACTCAACAACAACAAACGGAACAGCAAGAGAATTGAAACGCATCATTAAATGAAATACGTGTGAAATTGTGTATTGTTGTGTGCACAGTTTTATGGCCAAATATGTTAATCAACTTAAGATCGGAACCTAAACTCATCAAATTATTAGCTTTTACAACTGAAATTGAAAAATAAAAAAAAAATAATAAAACATATAAACTTACTTCCTAATACCAGCCGCTAATTAATGTCAGCAACAGCAAAACTGATTAGCATTCAGTCTGATTATTTCTCGTGCATATATTAAGACAAATTATTGACCTAGTCAGCACAGCGACACGAGCTACAGATTCGCATTTCTTTGATGTGTCTACGTGCCACATATATATACAATTATATATATTTATATATATATATACATATGTATAGCTTATATCGTGGAGATATCGTGATAAGAGCAGTCCGCATGACCTGCGGCTTTGTTGAATTGACACAAAGTGCCGGACAATAATGGGAATGAGCGGGCGTTCATCACAAAATTCGTCACTTTAAATTAGCTGATATTTTTTGTTGTATTCTGATACCCTGTAAAAAACCAATTGGCAGCTGCAGCAACTTAGAAACTTCTAGAATAACAAAGTTGTCTTTAATTAAGAACTCTTCAAATCTTGAATTCTAATTTATTTCGGCTTTTGCATACATAAATATATTAAAAAGCAATAAAATGTGCCCTAGTTGCAGTTTAATAGAGAATAGTTTAATTTCGGTATACATTAGTGCTTGAAACTTTCTTTTTTCAGTCCATTCAAGTTTTTATTTTGTTAGTATTATTTTTTAGCAGCTTTGTCTAACACATCTGAAATCTTACCTAAAAAGAAGTTATGATATTTTGTTATATTCCAAATAAGATTTTTAATGAATTTGAACTTTAATTGATTAAATATACAAATTTAAGATCTAAATTATTAATTTAAAAAAAAAGAGAAATCAGAACAAAACAATTTTTTAAAAAAAAATTATAATTCTTACATTATTTATTTATATATGTATGTTTCTACGTCGTTCTGAAATTCACCCCTAAAATCTCAATCAAACAATAAACTTAAAAAACTAGGTCCATTTACAGGGTATCTTTGAGGCGACTAGCGCCGTGCTGTCTATTAATGAATTGTTATAATATAATTGTGTATTAATAAAATTCTTTAGCTCTTGCTGTTTGCTTTCATTAAAGCTGTGGACTCACATAAAGGAGATTGTGATATAATTGAGCTGCAATATTGTCTGCACTCAATGCGCTCTGCAAAAATGTATTATTCAAATGCATATTCTTAGCTAAGTGATTAAATAGATAACAAATAAGGCCATTAAAAAGCGGTTGCTTTCATATATTATTCCACATCATGTTCTGCATTCGTATTACAATCAACTGCCTTGTTTTGTTTTTGTTTACGTGTTGTTGGGTTTTGAGTTCGGATTTCTGACAACAAAGAGCCGAGCCAGGCGATAAGTGAAACGCTTCAGTTTCAAATTGCATTTGCATTTGATTCAATATTTACGCTTGGATTTGTGGCCCTCAGATCAAATGCTGTTCGAACTTTGAACTGGAGTAAACGCATAGCCTCGCGTCAATTGAATGCTGTTGCACTGAGAGAAAAGCGTTGTGCTATATTCAGGTTGGAATGCGAAAGATAGATACTTATGCTGTCCTGTTCTTAAGCTTAGATTTCTTTGTTCAATTATCAGAAATTAAATATAAATTTTACTAAGAAAGAAGAAGCAAAAATTATGCTAGATTGTGTACCTACAAGAGAGAGGTCGCTGGTTCAAATTCAACAAAGAACAAAGAAAAGGAATATATATGGAATCTAACAATAATCCAAACGATTATGCAACTAATTTAAAGACTTCTTCGGAAATCGCGACTTGGTCTAAATTTAAACAAAGCTCAAACTCGAATTCAGTCAGTTATTTCCCTAAGTGTACCCCTGGCGACATTGCACGCCACTCAATTAATAACAGATCTTCGCCAACAGCTGCTTAGACGTGCCGCGACGCACATTCCGCTCAATTGGATTCAATGTCTTCCGTTTCGCTCTCAATAACGTAGAACTTGACCAATCTTAACACGAATCATATCTATATATATATATTTTAGCCGCAGTTCGAACCAAGTGCTCAGCCATGGTTGGTGTTGCCGCCGATACAGCGCAGGCCGCACAGCTATCCTCGGCCAAGAATCCCATGATTAAGTACATGCTAAAGCAGCGCGAGAATCATGCACGTGCCCAGGATGCGGACTATTCGCATGTTTTTCGCCGCAAGACACGGCTCGAGCTATACCGCATGTCCGCCATTGCGATGGCCATTGAGTTTGCGTACGCGGCCGAGACGAGCTTTGTGTCGCCCATTCTGCTCCAAATTGGCATCGATCACAAGCACATGACCATGGCCTGGGGCCTGTCGCCGCTGATCGGGTTCTTTGTCTCACCGCTGCTGGGCAGCATCAGTGATCGCTGCCAGCTGCGCTGGGGTAGACGCCGGCCCATCATCTCGCTGCTGTCGCTGGGCATACTCTGTGGCCTGATACTGGTGCCCTATGGCAAGGATCTGGGCGTCTGGCTGGGCGATGTGGGCTACAATTACACCGAACTGAGTCCGACTTTTGGCAATGAGAGCGCTGTGGCCGCTTTTCTGTCCGCCGAACCGGAACCCGGCGCAACGGCTGCCAATTTTAAATTTGCCGTAATTCTGACCATTTTGGGCATGGTGCTGCTGGACTTTGATGCGGACACTTGCCAGACGCCGGCGCGCACCTATTTGCTAGACATGTGCGTGCCTGAGGAGCAGCCCAAGGCGCTGACCACATTCACACTATTCGCGGGCTTTGGCGGCACCATTGGCTATGCCATTGGCGGCATCGATTGGGAGACGACACACATTGGCACATTTCTGGGCGGCAACATACCCACGGTCTTTAGCCTGGTGACAATTATCTTTGTGATCTGTTATCTGGTCACGGTGACCACATTCCGGGAGATTCCGCTCAAACTGATCGAACGCGATGAGATGCTGCGTCCCCTGTCCGAGGCGGCCATCAAGAAGGAGCTGCAGAAGAACAACAATGCCATCTACTATATACAGGAGAACTCCACGCTGGACCAGCAGCGGGCCAATGAACTGAAGGCCAACGAGCTGAAGGCCAATGGCTATCAGAATAGCTATTTGCCGGCGCTTAGCGATAAGGTGAAGCCGCGCGATCCGGAGCTTCAGGTGGAGGACCATACGCCCATCTCGCTGCGTGGCTATTTGAAGAGCATCTTCATAATGCCGCACTCGATGCGTATGCTGGCCCTTACCAATCTTTTCTGCTGGATGGGTCATGTCACCTATTGCCTGTACTTTACCGACTTTGTTGGCGAGGCGGTCTTTCATGGCGATCCCACGGCGCCGCCCAACTCGGCGCCGCTGCAGCTTTATGAGGAGGGCGTGCGCTTCGGCTGTTGGGGCATGTCCATCTATGCCTTCTCCTGCTCCATTTACTCGATGTCGGTGACCAAGCTGATGAAGTGGTTTGGGTAAGTACAAACAGGGGGTGTTTCATGTCGCAAATGCTATTGGAATGGATATTCAAATCTTGTCGAGAAATGGGTTACAAGAGATATATAAAATATATATATATATCTTTATTGACTTTTCAAGTGAATCGAAACTTGCAGTAGTATCTCATCAAAATTGTATTAATTTATTAAATAGATCTCTTAGAATGGACCTTAAATGTATATTAGTATATTATACAGATCCCTTAGCATCAGTCAAATATGGAGATCCTATACAGAAAGAAATCGTTTATTATTTGACGTCCGTCGTCCTTGAAGGCTGGAACCCTACACTACATTTTGAGCTCTGGATCTGCAAGAGTTAGAATAGATCTCATAGTATTGATAAAATAGAAGGCTCATAAAAAATTAAGTTTAACATATGTCTTCCGTTTCCTTGAGGGTTCGAACCCTACTCTTCATTTGCAACATATTCTAACTAAACTCTGAAAGCGCGAGCTTGACCTAACTGACCTAACTAATATATCCTGTCAATAAGGCATATACTAAATAAAGTATATACTACATATAGATATGATAATGCAATAGAAGGATCGGTCAAAATTAAAGTTTTTGTGAGGTTATTAAAGCCTTCGGCAAACCGAAGCCTAATGTTTCTTCTTGTTTCTCTTGTAGCACGAAGTCGGTTTATATCAGCGGCATGATATACTATGGCATTGGCATGCTGATCCTCGGCCTGTGGCCGACCAAGTGGGGCGTACTCGTTTTCAGCACCTCGGCGGGCATACTCTATGGCACGCTCTTCACCATGCCCTTCATCCTGGTGGCCAACTATCATGCCAAGAATTGTGTATGTAATTAGAACTTTCTCTCTCTCTCTCTCTTTCTGTCTCTCTCTCTCTCTCTTTACTTGTCTCAACTTCTCGCTTTCTTTTGCAGTTCCGCGTGCATAATGGCGAGACGGTGCCGCTGAAACAGGCACGTGGCCTGGGCACCGATGTGGCCATCATTAGCAGCATGGTCTTCATTGCCCAACTGATTGTCTCGCTGAGCGTTGGCCCGCTCGTCGCCTGGATGGAGACCACATGCGCCATTTTGTATGCCTCGACATTTTTATCCTTTGCCGCGGCCATAGCCGCCATGTTTGTGCTCTATGTGTAGGCGCCCTTGGGCGGGCATATTGATAGTCCCCCGTTGTTGTTTTTTTTCTTTGGCAGACAATGCCGCCTCGTTAATTGCTAGATGAAATTAACCGGCGTTGCTGTATTAATTTGATATTTATGATTTTTTGTGCTGTCCTATCAGCAGCAGCATCTGCAACTGATGTACTATGTACTTACGTACATCAAGCATGTCATACGCACATCCATTGTTCGTGTTTCAATGCGTATTACAATTTTTTTGCCCACTTTCAGGCATTGTTATATATTAACATAGTATTTTAAAGCATGCTTTTGAGCGCGTTTGGTTATATTGCAAAATTATTTAAAATTCAGCGGCCTGTTTTTTAGATTGCGTTTCCGAGCATACTTTAAGGAAATGAAATGAATTCTTTCTCTGTTTCAATTCCGTTCAGATTTCGTGCTCAAAATTTGATCAAAATTGACATAACAATATATGAAAAAAAGAATCGTGTTCAGCAAATTAATTGTTATTTAATTATTAAATATCTATATAGGATATATTTTATTTAAATTTATAATTATTTAAGTGCAGCTTCCACTGAGTAAACTTTCTTTTTGCATATTATTTTCTTATCTATTTTTGTTGAAAATAACATTCAAAATTATTTGACGAAGCATATCCAAGCTTATTAAAATTGGCTGAACCTGTTGAAGGGCAATTAATAAATTTATTAGTGAGGAAAAAACTTTAAAAAGAAATCCACTTGCAATGCAACCAAATTTATCTGTCCAAACGATTCGAAATCTAAGACAGGCTCGTATATTTTCCTTAACAAAATCATTCAATTAATAAAAAAATTAAAATTTGTTCTTTCCTTTTTCAAGGAGATTAATTGATTTTTTCCAAACACCAAAGCTTATTTATTTACTTTCTAAGAATTTATTAAAACTGTATTAAAAAGCAATTAGGAAAAAGGAGGTCGAGCAACAATTCGATAATCATATTCAATCTCAATTGAACTATGTATTTTGTCTACAGCAATTTAGGATAATCAGTGATTAGATTTAGTATGAGTATAATTATAATATCATTTGATGTATTAACATATGAACAAGAATCGTGCCGTGCTTCAAATAGCAGCAGATTTTATTGCGTTCAATTTAAGCACAGCTGAGTTTCATTCTGTGTGGCTGGCAAAACAAAGAAGCATAATACGAAATGAAATTAAAAATTGTCTTGACACGCACCTTAAGAGATTTTACCCAACAACTAAGCTGTCGCATCGCCCGAACAATGGGTAACAAGAGCGGATATTAATTTTTACGCTCGTGCATGGCATTTGAATACAATTTTTAATTTCCCCAAGTGCACTTCTTGTACCCTGCATAAATTGCACTAGCACAAGGTATACGAACCGCACACATTAAAATATTTTATAATTATGTATGTATGTAAATAAATAAAGCAAAACTGAGTTGTCTTTCAATTGTCTGTCTGCGACTTTGATATACCAATATCGCTTTGGTATGGCAATGGGTATCTGTAGAGCTCTAAAACTTGAGGATTTAACTAAAAGTCGCGCACTTCGGACTCTTATTGGTTACCGTCTGCCCGACTGCTTCCAATTTCCTTAGTGGCAGCACATGCCACGCCCATTTTTGACAGCACTTGTGGCCCTCTTGTAAGTCATAAAATCCAGAGACACATTTCCGCCAACACCTGAGTGAGAAATTGCAATATGCATCAGATTATTTAAACTCTGAATAAACACTGAATTAAAATGCAGGCAAATGTTGAAAAATACGATGTTTAATATACATAATTATATTTAATGTAAATGTATTATGTACGTATCTTTACACTTATACACTCTGTACACGTCGAAATTTCTTTATCTGCAAGCGGGTCTCTACTTTCAACCCTTTTTTTTATACCCTGTAGATATGATCCCCCGTTTTGATACTATCGATATACATATATCGATGTTGAGCCTTGGCCTTATCTCTGCTTAACTAGGTGGTTATACGAGCTGGACTCCAAATCTGGATCTAGATACATATATCAAAGTTGTTTGTAGGTTCTTGTACAGTATATAAACGTGAAAACTCTCTTAAGCGGGCAGAGATCGTCGAGGAGTAGTTATTTTCCACCCAAGGGGAATTTATGAATCTGGCTATGAGTTATTATGAGTTTATACAAATTGTTGCGTATATATTTATATTTTTAAGTATTAACTCTCTTCTTCACTTGATCGTTTGATGCTAAGCCTCCCACTCTAGTGATCCTTATACCGATACGTATTATCGACTTATAAGTATGCGCTCATATTGTCAGAAGCTAACAGGATTGTCAGGGAGAGACCAAGTGGTCTTCTTTAGGAGAGTTTTTGCTGTATTCTAGGATAACTACCTCTAATCCCCCAAAAGCTGTAAAAGGTGCATTTATAACTTGGAGCCTTGCGCTTAGATGTGTGCACAGTTTTTCTGGCATATTTAAACACTGGAAATTTCATAAAAATCGGACTATAAATACCGAAGTTAATCAAGAATGTATTTCTTAGATCGCCAAAAGACGAAGCTCAATCGCAGCCAAAAGATCGCAACATTTAACTTACAATTCCAACTTCATTTTAAAACCTAATATTTTTTTTAATTTTTGGGCTAAAGTCAAAGTCTGAGCTACTCGAACTTAAAACGAGCTTTATTCTCTGAGTGTATAAATAAGAGGCAACAAATTTTAGAACCCAAGTTGTTGCACAAAGGAAAGTTGCGCACTATGTTGAGAAGGTACTTTAAATGCAGTGTTGTAAAGTGACATAAAATCAAGTTACAACTTGAGCTGCCGGCACTCGCGAAACTTTGACAATAAAAAACGTCTTCCAATCCGCCGACGTACGCGGCGTATGCGCAATATGATTCAACCGCTCCTCGCACCCCCCCCCCCCCCCCCCCCCCCCCCCACACACACACACACACAAACTGCCACACAGCTGCTGCTGCTGAGGCCCCAAATTACAAATTGACTTTATCAGCGGCAACAAATCAGGAGGCAGCACATAATCATTCATCATATGAGACAAGCTTGTGTGAAGGAGGGAGCGCACTACACACACACACACACACACACGACCCGCTGTGAGCTCCAATAATATTTGCATTTGTCTTAAGCTCAATCGAAATCCGTGAAAGCGAGACACACGAGAGAGTGTTCGTGTATAATAGAGGTAAGAGCCAAAAGCCAATAAGCAAAAGTCTTTCACAACATCAACAAAAGGTAAATTCATTTTATATTCGATTGTTGCGAACGCTCTCAAAAAAGCAAAAGCGAAGAAAAAGGGGGGGGGGGGGCAAACATGTGCAACGTTTATCCTAGAAATAAGCCAAGGAATCGACGAATCGACAAGCCAAAAATCCCCAAGCCAAATGCTCACGAGCAGCGACAACCATAAGTCTAAACCCAATATAGCTCAGCCCAGCCAGATTTGAGTGCAGCTCAGCTAACTCTTCTTCGCTTCCTGTCAAAGTCAAAGTATGCATTAGCATTGTTTACCTGCCCGGCAGGGTGTGTGGCTGGGCTTGGGGCCTGTCAAAGCTAAGGCCAAGGGTATGGCAATAACAATAAAGCAATGAGTAAAACTGACAATTGTGCAGGATATTACGAGACTGGCTTTTATGCTTAACTGTTGCTGTTGCTTCTACTGTTGCTGCTGCTTCTACTGCTACTCCATCGTTACCTATCCATTTATCTGGCGTTTTTACGAGTATTGACACTGCAGTCATCACAATATACGAGCATGGCCATAAAATGGTTGCCCAAAATGATTTTGGATACTTGACATACTATTTGCTTTTCGTTTGCGATTTCCGTTTCATTGAAGGCCCTATTAAGTTGCCAGTTGAACTTTCCAATTTTACACATTTCCCTGCCGTAAACCTTGGTAACAAGATACAGATGCAGTTATTCAAGCTTCCGAAAGCTGTATAACATATACATGCAGTACATTTGTCTTCATCCAATGCTCGTCATATAAATATAAAAACCTTGTAGAGGTTATTATAAGCTTGTCTGCAAGGGTATAAAACCTTGTGCGTGCCGTTATTCTTGGGCTTAAAACTTGCTTCACCCATCAAAGCTTTGTATATTTGATTCCAGAATCAAACCGAATCCACGATTATATTTGCCTTAAATATATCACAAGACCTTTTTCACAGCGAACTTTTTTAATTATTTTATAATATTTTATTGCATTCTTCTTAAATTCGGACAAATAATTGCCTTCATCTGATCGATCTTGCTGACAGGTCGAGTGTATTGTGTCATCGAATTTATAATATCATCAAACGCATTCGACAAATTGTATTGTATTTTGGATGGGAACTTGTTTGAGTAGATTCAATACCAGTTCGCACTCCAGACAATTTGACACCTTGCTGTTGGTCCTAATTTATATGCAAATTGTTTCGTTATAATTTCTCACCAGCTACGCTTAACTTTTAACTCTTTGTTTCGCTTTTTTTTTATTTTTGGCTTGTTGTGTTTTTTAATGTTTGTTTTTTTATTTTACTGCCGCAAGCATGCGCCATTTAATAAACACCCCACACTGAGTAGAACCCGCAGCAGCAGCAGCACAAGCAGCATCAGCGGAAGTGGAAAATAACCAAAATGGCGTTAGCAAGTTTTTAGTTGCCCAAACCCCTAAGCATAACTGAAGTCATGTCAAACAGGGCGACATTTGCAATAAAGGGAAATAATATGCAAATGCAATTATGAGCAACTCCCTCACGATATGAGCAAGACACATATCAGACGCGCATCGGCAACAACTGAAGCGACAGCGCAGACCACAACATTTGTGACTGGCTATACACTAAGTTGAGGGCAGGGTATGACAGCTATATCAAGAAGTTTGTAACATGAATCAAATAAGATATATTCGTGGTACTTTTGCCTGCCTGACCATTAAAAGTCCAGTCTGAGCAATTCATTTTGTTGGCTTTCTAGATATTAGTCTATTAAAAAGCGAATAGGAACTATCGGCTGATATCAGAGTTCTGCTTAAGACAGTGTAAATTCCTGTCAACATTGAACTTCTATACTATATCTATACTATATACTATACTATATATAAACTTTCTATGTTAAGGGGAATTATCCACAGAATAAGTTCTGAATTGTTCGATATGTTCTTCTATTTTTATAATAACGATAGATATCAATTTTAAAATAAGTTTTTGTATGCATAGCTCGAGGAAAATACATAAGAGCTAGATTTTCGAAAAGTATATTAATTTCCATAATATAACACATTTCGAATACCTTCCCATGTCATAAATTATAAGAAGTTCATTTTTGGGGATATAGACTTGGTCTTTAGAATTGCATGGCATATTATTCCCTGAAAGTCCCAAAGTGATCGGACTATAAACACCGAAGTTAATCATGAATGGATTTAGTCAAAGTTTGCGTTCTAGTGGACGTGTGTGTCCAGAAGGAAGCTACAATGTTTGTAACAAGAACTCGGCGCTGGCTAAAGGGTATCTCCTACTTGTCTCCCTACTGATGAAGTAATATACCTCACAGCTTCTTCTACAAGTCTGCTAGGGTATTTAGGCTTCGGCAGCATAAACTTCTCTGTTTTCGCTTCCTCTTTTTTTTTAGGGTAACTTTATTTTCACAACATAAATAAGCACATCCTTTCAGCTGGCGTCGAGTTATTGGAATCTTGTTATTGTTGGCATATATAGACATTCTTTGAATTTAAAAGCAATGCATAAACGCGCACCTATGTATATATAATAGAAGAGGAATACTTGTTGGCTATAGATAAAAATTGCCGGCAGTGGCTAATCAGAGCAACTTATATGTGCCATAAATTAGAAGGCGACCGAGGGACATCCGTTAAACATTTGCCGCCTCTTCCAGGCCCACTGATGTGCCCGGTTTGTGGCGGCTTTGCCCAGTGGGTGGCTCTGTTTATGCTGGTCGCTGGCTCGAGTCTGGCTGGCTGGCTGACTGGCTGTCCAGTCTCTCTCTCTGTGTGTAGTCGGTCTGATGCATGAAATGTAATAAATTTCGTTATCTATGCATTATTTATGCCGTAATTTGGTATTTTAGCCCAAAAACAGAAAAATGAAAAGCGTCAAGCGCCCTGGCAGCAAACTGTGGACAGGCCCACAAAGCTTTCAGCCTTCAACAGAAAATGGCGTCAGGTCAACGTTACACATTTTCACCAATTTTCCTCCTCTCACCATATATATATATATATATATATATATATATATATATATATATATATACGTGTGTGTGTCTGTGTGCGCGCATAAATTACACTTAGAGCATTCCGTTTTTGGGATGTGTGCAAAATATATATATAATATAGGTATATATATACATATCTATTTAGTGTATTTGTATATATGTTTTAAATGAAATGTTGCCTGCAAAAAGTTGTCTGGCTCTTTGTGGCTAAACATTGGTAAATTGGCCTCAACCTGGTCACGTTTTGACCATGCTCAAGCACTTCAATCAATCTTCAAATTTACAAATTTTAAGCAAAATATTTTCAAAAACTTAACAAATTTAATAAAATACACGCGTGTATGGGCCGCCTCGTGTGTATAGGATATGCGTTCTTGTTTAAAGTGTGACCTCTATGATATTTTCAGGGAATATGAAAGAAAAATTGTGAGTACAATTTTGCGGCGAACTGTGATAGATGTGCAAAATGTGAAACATTATGGATATCTATATACTGTTCAAAAAACCTACATAAAATTTGGTGTATCTAGTTCTTATATTTCTCGAGTTATGCTTGATAAAAATGGATATTTACCAATATAATGAAAGTTCTGTGTATTTTATAGAAGAATATATACTTCAGGTTTCACGTCTTTAGCTTTTATAGTTTCTGAGATCAGGCAAACGTATAGACAGCCAAAGAATACAAAAACATATACAAGCTAAATGAGACGAGAACAAATCTTCAGGACTATAAGGTTGGGAAGTTGTTGATTTATGAAATATGACCAAAAAAAGAGCAAAGCAAATAGTGTGAGCGCTTTTTTGTCAATCAACTCAGTCCACCCAAATAGACAAAACAAAAACTTTAGATCAACATTAAATTTATTTTTTAAGTTTTAACATCGCTTCTTAGGCAACGGGGGCGACGGGCAGATGAGCGCCCTGGGGCTGGAAGCCGTTCTCATCGGCGACGTAGTTGATGGTGTAGGTCTGACCATCATCGGCAACGAAGGAGTATGAGCCCTGGACGGAAATAGCCTCATTTTCTGAGCCAATGTTCTTCAGCTGACCTGCTGCATTTTCCTTAATGCCATTGGATGTCTCGAATCTGTAGCATCAAAAGCAAAGGATTAGCAAAAGCTGGACAGTAGCCCGTCTTAAGGGGTTAATAATTACTCGTAGTTGAATGATTCGGGTCCAACATCGGCTTCGCTGCGCAGAGTTTGTGCATCAGAATCAGCGGGTGCGGCCAGGGCGACGGCGAAGAGCGCAACGAAGACGATCAGGAATTTCATTTTTAGGTTTTTGTGTTGCGCGTTTGAGGTATCAAAGGTAACTATACTAACATCAGGCAAGTGGACGCGTATTTATATCAAAGCTTGCAACAAATTCGGATTGGATAAAACTAGTTTATCGTTTCATATTAAATGGCAAAAAAGTATAAAACTAATGAAATGAAATAAAACTTGTTATAGTGGGTCTTATGTTTGCGTTGATTAAAAACGTCACAAGGCGAAGACGTGCAGACGACAAATGAATTCAAATTCGGCAACCCATTTACATAATCTACACATATATATGTATGTGTATACATATATATGTATTTATAGTATAAAATATGTTTTGATATACATAAACTATATGAATTATATGCGGCGACTCTTGATTTCCTTAACTTTATTTATACGCTCTCTCTCTCTCTCTTCTTCTCACAAGTATTGAGTTCTAAATCCAATTAGCAACTATCCGAAGTTCTTGAAACATGTTTATCCATTATCGCTGGCAGTTTACACCTCGAGATGCCCCCGCTCGAGATGCCTGCCTATGCTAATCTCTATATATATATATAACCATATATATATATATATAGTTGGTGTATGTGATACCCACTATCACTTTCAGCTAACTTAGATGCGTAGAGACGAGCAGATAGATACATAGATTTAAGCAGATGCGTCTCAGTTGTGCCGCCGGTTGACAACCCCGCACACGCCGCTTGATCTTGACCAGACTCAAGCCCGGGCCCAGATCTAGACCGGCCAAGGTTACGGCTTTGCCAATAGCTGTTTGACTGGTCGCTGCGGCATCTTTTTTGTCGAATATATTATTAGGGTTTATGTTTTCAATTTCGTTTTCTTTTATCGAAACGAACGATTTCTTGCAGATTTTGCGCCAGTCAAACATTTGTCTATAGCTTCACAAATACATTTTGTTATATATTATATTTAATTTATATTCAGAAAGTATTATACGGATTTGTGTCCTTTGTCCTTTTCGTTGAAGATTATATATATTTTTCAGCTTTTTTTCTCCCTCATTTTCAATTTTACTTTATAATTTCAAGATTGCGTCTTACACACAAATTTAACTGTCTTTTATATTTCCTACACACTTTTTTTTTACAAAAGATTCTGTTCTTTTTATTAAAAGTACGTCTTCTTAGTAAGATAATTAATATTGACTTTGAAGAGTGCGGGAACCAAGAAATATATATTTAGTAATCTATAATTTATTCAATTTAGTGTGAAGATTTTTCCCGAAACCCCATTTTCGTGCCCCTGTAAAAAGTTCAGCTCTCTAGCTCTTAGGGCTTGGATTGTGCGTTTTTCATCAATCAGCTTCCTTTTGGCTTTTGCCCATCCAAATTTCCCATTCACATAACTTTGCTTTCTGTTCATGGGCCTCCCTCTAGATTTACTTGGCATTTAAATCTGACTACATATTATTTAGTCGAACTAAAACCGTGTATAGAATTTTATTTGTGTTAATTTAATTTGTGATCTTAAACAAAGAAAAACGCAGTAAATTATGCTTAATTAAAGTTAAAAATAATAATAATGAGTAAATATAAGATTATATAATTATATAAAAAAAAAAAGTTAGAATAAATGTGAGAAAAAGTTGTTGAAAACAGAAAAGAATTTTGTTAGAGAATAGCGACAGATGAGCATACACAATAATAATAAAAAGTTATATCAAACTATATTAAATAGATAGGGTAGAAAGATAGGAATGGGAAATCAGGGTGAAATTTTTAGCCTGTCCGGCATATTATGAGAATAAATGGGTGTTAAGAATAATAATAATTGAAAACTTTCTGCTGTTAATTGGTTTATTAGTTCTTTAATAATTGCTTGAGCCAGCATTTACTTAGTCTGTAGATTGATCCGCAACAGACACAAATGATATGTCTAGCATTGGGGCCCATTTGAAGATATGGAAGCCAAGCGCAAGGGGTCTATAAAGTGAATCCACTTAATCTCCCACGAACTTAAAAAGGGATCGCTTACAATTGAACGACATTGTGGCATGGGTCTATATGGATATTTTTTTTTGCTCGCATCTGCAAATATTGCATGAAAATTTTATTGAATTCTCTGCCATTTTTGTGCGCCAGTTGGCAGTTGGTAGTTGGCACTGTTCTCGCCTTAGTCTGAGGCTGGTGGCATCTACTTGAATTTTACAGCAGATGCACTTACGCAATGTTTTGCCAACATAAATAACATTTACTACTATTGTGAACGTGGCGTATGAATAACTTTTGCAGGCCAACAATAAACTGCAACAACATGCCGCAGCCCCAGGCACAGCAGAGGCAGCTGAACATGCAAGGGCCTTGTATAGATATTCAGCACATAGATATAATCATGTATGCATGCTAATTTCCAGATGTGTTCCTCAAGAACATGCCAACGTGCATCCAAGATACTATATACTAAGTATACCATGCTGGAAACTAGAAATCAAATGAGCTAGTAGAACTGTAGCGTGCTCTTTTTCCGATTGATGAGCTACTTTTGTCCGTTTGCATAGGAAAACACAAAAACTTTAGATCAACATTAAATTTATTTCAGTTTTAATATCGCTTCTTAGGCAACGGGGGCGACGGGCAGATGAGCGCCCTGGGGCTGGAAACCGTTCTCATCGGCGACGTAGTTGACCAGGTAGGTCTGACCATCATCGGCAACGAAGGAGTATGAGCCCTGGACGGAAATAGCCTCATTTTCTGAGCCAATGTTCTTCAGCTGACCTGCTGCATTTTCCTTAATGCCATTGGATGTCTCGAATCTGTAGCATCAAAAGCAAAGGATTAGCAAAAGCTGGACAGTAGCCCGTCTTAAGGGGTTAATAATTACTCGTAGTTGAATGATTCGGGTCCAACATCGGCTTCGCTGCGCAGAGTTTGTGCATCAGAATCAGCGGGTGCGGCCAGGGCGACGGCGAAGAGCGCAACGAAGACGATCAGGAATTTCATTTTTAGGTTTTTGTGTTGCGCGTTTGAGGTATCAAAGGTAACTATACTAACATCTGGCAAGTGGACGTGTATTTATATCAGAGCTTGAAAATAAATTTGCATTTCGCACGGCCGCAGCTTCCGAATCGGCTGTGGGCGATTTCAGGGTCAGCATTTTGAATAAAGAACTTCATGTTTAGCGTCGGTATAACTAGTTTTGAGGCCCCTAAAATGAACTATGTATTTTGAATAGTTTGAATTCGTGGCGATATTCAATGAAAACTAGTTTACTGCTTAAGACGGTACAATAGCTGAGACTAAAGCAAGATAAAATGAAAAATTACCAAAAATTAAAATTCGTATCATACATATTTATTAGAAAAAATCAAACAAGTATTAAAATTAGCCTACGGCGTCCAAATGTGAACATTTTATATGGCATACGCCAGTTGCCGATTTGATTGGGATTACATGAATGTAAAAAAAAAATGCTCTACGACTACAGTAAAATATATTATAATAAACCTTCAGTTGCACGGGGCTTTGATCTCTTGACTTTAATATCAAAATCAAAAAAGAGAAGTTCAATATGTTTCTTAAAACTTGCTGAGTACACGTTAAGGTGAAGGACGGAAGGGCTCTAATGAGAATATGCATATGAATACATTTGGGGGCCACTTTAAGAGCACTTCTTCAACCATTTCATGCAGTTTGCCCCAATTTATCAACGTTATAAGATTTACTATTCAATTCGTCGTAGTCCGAGCATTTTTCAAAATGCATTTAACTCACTTTGTCATAGTCCGTAAATTTGAAATGTCATTGCGACTTTCAACTGTCGACTAGCGCACAACCTTGTGGCTTTCATATGACATCCTACACATATCCTGGCACCGAGCCGGAGACAGAGACCGAGATAGAGAGCGACACAGCCGTAGACAGGGCCAGCTTTGTGCGAGTGCAAGTGAGAGAGCTGCCAGAGTCGCAGTCAATTTTGTGTTTTAGCTGCCCTTAAAGCATACAGCATAAATATATATATATATGAAAGGCAGATATACATATATGCTGTGTATACCAGCTCTAGATCCGGTCCAGAAATGAGGAGGAAAGAAAATTGCAGAAAATAAAAGCCAAACATAATTGGAATATTGGAAATCTCAGGCCAGTTTCTGAATGTACAAAATATATGCCATTTACATTCAATCAATAACTAATTAACCTTTCTTATGCAACCGATTCATTGTAATTGATTTATTTAAAGCTGTTTAATTAAGAAAACGTAGCTTAATTTAAGTAAAAATAACTTAATTATTATTGTCTTATAAATTGTTTCCATTTTAGCATTTATGCTTAATTTTCTGCTCATAGATAAGCTACAAATTGAAGAAAATACCTAAATATTGCAATTCCTGATTGATTTGAACCAGCTACCTCTCCTCTACTAGTTCGACTCCTAGTTTGCAAAGTAGAACTTCTATTGCTGCCTCTTTGATTATGTTTTTTACACAACCTTTGACCACTGGAGTGTAATTTTCTTTTTTGCTGAAATTATGCCTAGGTATTCGCCAGCTTTAAGCTGCGGGTCGGCATTCAATTTGTCGCAACACCTCACCTGTTCTCACCTTGCCAGGGAAGCTGACCGCACGCCATAAGAAATAAATTATTTCTTATCGGGGCAACCGAACTGGCCACAGAAAAGTTTTTTGTCTACACAGAAACTGCAACGTTTTCTATCTGCAATTTCTTTTATTTTTTTTTTTTTGTCACTCGATAATTTGTAGAAGTCCTTCGTCCTGTCGTAAATTGTCTTTGGCAGCCCAACAGGCTGTCTGGACCGTTTCGAATCGCAGTCGCCGTCGGCCTGGGTCCGTTCCTCGACCCTGCCAAAAGTTTAGTCCAAGACGATGCGCTGGGCGCGACAGCCAAATCAACAAGCAATTGTTGCTGGTAAAACACGTTTCTGCCCCTTACCCGTGCGAAACCCAGCCCGCAATTTCCCCGCTCCCATCTTGTTGGCAGCGTCTATAAAGATTACAGCGCAGCAGGAGCGGCAAAACTTTTTAATTTTATAAAAACAAACGGCAAGCATTTGAACTGCGACACCGACCACAGCACAAGCTGAAGACAGAATAAAAACCGACTCTGAAAAATAGAAAAATATATAGGTATATATAAAAGTATCTTAATATAATACAAAATTACGTTTGATGGACATGGCTATTTTTCAAATAATTCAGCAGTTAATACACTGCAAACTACAAATTCAAAAATAATCAAAAAAAAAAAAATGCTTTAAGAAGGAGTCCCGGACTAGGGCTTACTTCTAGGGCTTACCTATATCCTGTTACTTCTTGCAGGATTTTTATTGATTGCTTGGAAACGGAGTAAGTTATCGACTATCGGAAATAACCTCGATCTGCGCCTACATCTAAAATTTGAAGTCTCTAGCTCTTATAGGCTCTGAGATCCTTGCGTTCATACATACGGACGGACGGACGGACAGACAGACGGACATGGCTAGATCGACTCGGCTATTGGTGCTGATCAAGAATATAAAGTATTGGGGTCGGAGATGCTTCTTTCTGCCTGTTAGATACATTTGGATTTTGCACAAATACAATATACCCTTATACCCATTTTTTATGGGTTCAGGGTATAAAAATATATATAACCCTTTTCTTTAACATTTATGGATACGGATATACTAAAGGAATAAGTTAAAGATTAAAACTCTTATTTTGTAGCTCATTGGAATGAAGTACAGTTAAAACATGTCACTGTTAACAAAATTACTGTTATTTAAAATGTACTTTCGAAGAAGCTTTTAACTATTTTCGAACAATAGTCTAGATATGAAGAATTAGCTTTTGAAAGCAGTTTTTACCAAGAGGAGTGTCTCGACTTTTACGAAAAACAAGCTATTCTTTAGCGTTACTGTTAAATTGCTGTTATCTTTAACAGCATTCGGTTCTGTTATTTTTAGCAGCAAGACAAAATGTAAAGCTTTCCGAAAGAAGGACGAGCTGTAAACGGTTAAGCTTTCGGAAAGGATTTCGTGCCTCGAAAGCTTTTGTAGTGTTTTTGAGCTTTCATTCTACTTTATTTATGTGTTTTTTTTTAATGGGAATTTTATCGAGCACACACACCAAAAGCTTTTACAACATGAAAAAAAACACTTTTACAAAAGACTCAGGCCTTTGCTGGGCTAAAATGCATTTCAGACCGAGTCAAGTTTTTGCCACTAATTGAAATTCTTTATTTATCAGCTTGCCATCGATGCCCGGTTGAGGTTGCATTTGCTGCTGCCACTGTTTGTCTCTTTATAAAGCACCTGCCCGCACAGAACGCCTCACCTGTTCTGGCTGGAAACTGTTTTCATTTATTTGCTGGCTTCCTGGCTTTTTGTTTTGCTTGGCGGTTAGAGGCAGGTGCGCGGCAGTGAAGGATTTGGCTTGCTATTTCCGCTCAGCGCATGACGCGCAGCGGAACAAAAGAAAAATTGTAATGAAATTCGAAACTGCAAGAGCAAACAACAACTGAGAGATGCCTAAAACGGGCTGAAAGCGGGAAATATCCTTTAAAAGGAAAACAAAAAAACAAAAAAGTGCTCTAGTTTGAAGTGCGCGCTGGGATATACCCTAAACCCATCTACCCTAAGCCTCGAGCTACAGCAAAACAGACACACACACAAGCATACATGTTGCTTCTGCTTCTTCTAGCCTTAATCCCACACTGCGGGAACTTGGGCATTTATTTCCTGATCTCTTTTTAAGAGCATATATATGCAACGAAATTTGTGTTAATATAGAGGCCCAGGCAACTTTGTACTAAACGGGGGCGATGTGTCCAATAGATACAGTATATTATGGATCTATGCAAAATATATGATAGTCTCTAGCTCATATAAGCTCCGAGATATGCTCTAAATACAATACAAGAAAGTTTGCCATGATCTAAAATTGATGCCATGATCCTTGGACAGAGGAGGATGAAGAGTAAAGTATGTATTTATATATTTTTATAGGAGATGCTTTCTTCGTAGAAGCTTCCCTCTGCCTGTTACATACATTTCCACACAGCCAATATACCCTTTTGAATCATACACAAAGGATCCGGGGCATAAAAGAAATCACTTCGGCTGGTTCAACTTGATTCAAATGCAACCTTGATTTAGCCAAACACAAATACATTTTTCGATATTTGAATGTGGAATAATCGAGGGTTCTTTTTTTTTCTAGTATATTCAGCTGTAAATGTGACAAAATGTCATCAAGTGTTACACATGTGAGCGTGTGTGTGTGTGTCTTAAGAGTTCCATCATTATAAACATCAAATATTTCTATGTAAGTGTCAAAAGAATGATATTATGGGTTTGCCTCAAATGAAGAATCGCAAAAGCTACCAACTGGCTCACTGTATGCAAGTGTACGTATGTGTGTGTGTGTGTGTGTGTGTGTGTGTGTGTGTGTGTGTGTGTGTGTGTGTGTGTGCGTGCCGGTGTGTGTCAACTGTCAACCTTTGTCAGTCGATTTGTTTGTGAAATGCTAATCCTATAAGAGCGACTGTCTCGTACGTGTCGTTTAATCAGTGAAAATCACAAAATGCGAGACAACACCGGAAACTTGTGTGTGTTACGACTGCAAAATTCCATTTCCTCTTCCAGACACACACACACACATGTGGGTGTATGTGTGTGTGTGTGTGTAAGAACAATTCAGAATATACTATAGGATATAATTTAACATGTTTACAATAATGAAAGCAACTGAACAATAGTTAACCATTTGCCCAGGCTTAATCATGCATGTTAACAGTCTTTTGATATAAACAATAAAATGGTTTAATAAATGAGCCTTAATAGATCAATTTTGCTTATGGAAGACCCTTTGTTATAGGCTGTGAAAGGGCTTTTATGGGCGCTAATTCGAAACATTTAGAATAAGCGCCCAGAAAAGCCCCATTCAATGCCTAGAAATAGGTGCAAGCATTGGCAAAAACAATTGATAATATCTAGTTGTTAAAGTTTGTTACCCCAGGGTCTGGTTAGCACT